GGGCTTCAAAACCACCACTGCTCCAAGAGAGAAAGTTGAAGCAAGCAGTCTCCTCCTATAAACATAGACAGCAGTGTTTCCTGAGGTGGGTGATATTGTCCCCAGAAGTGCACTGGAGCGAGCGATCCACAGGGCGGCAAAAGTAGATACCTACACTTTGTTCTGGATTATGGGCCACTGTACAAACGTTTGGGTTGTCCTGGAGGTGCTGAGTAATTTTTTTCTGGAGAGAGAGTGGGAGGGGAAATAAATGTAGGAACTTGTGTTCGACAGCCTGAGACACCTAGGGGATAGCTCTTCTCTGTCCTATACAGTCATTCTGAACAGGAACGGACCCCATGGCCGTGGGTTTGATTTATTTTTTAATGACGGAGTTTGGCATCTGTGTAATGATCTCCCACATGGCGATGCTATTTATGTGACAAACTTGTGGTCACAAGATTCAGGGTAGGATACCCGACCTTTTGTCTCTTCGTAGCCCAGATGAGATACATGGGAGGGGAGTTTCTTTAGGGTGTGGCTGCAGCATCTTCCCATCCCAAGGGATTATAAGTGATAAAACAGTGGAGAGGAGGAAATTGACTACCAAACAGAGCGGTGACCTGGACCAAAGTGCATCTGTGGACCTGAAGCTCCTGCCCGGTTCCTAGACCCGGTTCCTCAGCCAAGGTAAGCTTGCTGCAAGGATACCCAGGCCTCTCCAAGGGATGTCCGATCCGTGGATGCTGCAGAGTGACGAGGTCCTGTCCCCAGACCTGCCAGAGGGAAAGGGACTCCTCGGTCCATTTAGTTCTTGATTACATGCTACCTCCGTAAGTGATTGAAGTCTAGTTCTTTTTGGTACAATCGTTCATGTGTTCCTTGCATTTTCTTTTGAAGCTTCCTACATCGTTCAATCACCACTTGTTGCCGTTTGTCGGGCTATGTAGTTTGTGAGGATGACAGGACCGGGCGGTGTTTCCTTCTGTTGTGTTTGTGGTTGCTGTGGGTTTTGACTGACCCAATGGCACCTAGCAGCAACATCTTCCAAATTGTGTCCATGTATCTTCAATATTGCCACTCAACTTGATTTCCCCCCCCCCCCCCCAGTTCTTCCAGCTTAAGATATTCTTTAATTCTAGCTTAAGATATCTTCAGGATGTTCTTCTGCAAGGTCTTTTTTCTTTTGAGTTGGGCAGTTTTTTATTTTTAATAACTAGATCTATTTCTTCTTTTAATAAGTCAATTTATTGGGAGCTCTTAAAACCACCCATACATCTATTGTATCACACACATTTGTACACATGTTGCCGTCATTATTTTCAAAATATTTTATTTCTACTTGAACACTTGGTATCAGCTCTTCTTTTTTCCCCAACCTCCCAAACCCTTGATAAATTACAAATTATTATTTTCATATTTTACAACATCTGCTGTCTCCCTTCTCCCATGTTTCTGTTGTTTGCCCCCCTTGAGGGGTGTGTGTGTTAGTGCCTACAACCAAAGGCATTTCTGATAGAACTCTGGTTTCATCCTAAGCCATGGAGTAGTTCTAGGGTGAGTATCCTACATCCACTTTCTGGCTTTCAAACCTCCCGGGGGAAGTCACAGGAGACAGGGAGGCGCAATAGTCTTGAGTATCTCAAGGGATAACCCTTGAAGGCAGGGAAGAGCAAGTGCTTATGGGAAAGACAGAGATAAGCAGGGGCATGCACAAACAAACAGGAGGGGAGACTTCAGGGCGTCGAGAGCTATGTCTTTGCTCTTATGTCCTTGGTTCTGACCTGATGGATCCACCAAGACCCCTCCTGGCTGTCTTAAATACAAAACTTATACTAAAGGATTTTGTAGAAGTTACTGCTTCTGTTTAGCTTTTTTGTTGAAAGAACCCAACCCCAATCAAGTTTGTATGTAAACAGCTTTGCCTGCTTTGTTCTTTGACTAGTTCAGGCATAGAGATTTCAGCGTTTTTTCCATCTCTCTTTCCTCTTTACTACAGAAACAGAATAAAGGGTTGGTTTGTCCCCACTCTGGTAACTTTGGGATGATTTTGCCCTGGGCAGCATATTTCAGTCTAATATTTAATTTCGTCTTGAGTTATCTCTTGGAAATATCTGTTGAGCTCTTTCCCCTTCATCATTCCTTTTTGTTTTAGTTGCTCTAGAGCAGTGGTTCTCAACCTTCCTCATGCTGGGACCCTTTCATGCAGTTCCTCACGTTGTGATGACCCCCCCAACCATAAATTTATCTTCATAGCTACTTCATCACTATCATTTTGCTACTGTGATGAATCGGGTCACTCCTGTGAAAGGGTCAATTCGATCCCCAAAGGGGTCGCGACCCACAGGTTGAGAACCACTGCTCTGGAGCAAGCTCAGGGTTCAGAGTCTTTTCTGACACCCATCTTGACAACTCTCTTTTCTGTCTCATTAATCACTTTTTGCATGCATGACGGTCTCAAAACATGTCCAGTTTTCTGTCCTTGGTGTTCAATGTGTTGCATCTCTTCTTGACATTCGAGTCTGACATATTCAAGGTTATATGTTGACTTTCATGGTTTTAATTTTCATGAGCTTCAAGTCAAAGCATTGTCCTGTTCCACTGTGGACCCCAGCGTCATTGTGGACTGCTGATCTTGAGCTTCTCCACGGGCTGTTCTGTATTAGACCTTAAATTCAGGAGGAGGCTATCGATGATGGTGAAAATGCAAAATCCATTTGCAGAGACCTCAGACAGATTAAGCTTCATTGAATTCCTTCTGGTCATTCACCAGGGATGGGGATAATCTTGCCTCAGTGCTTTGGAAAGGGGATTATTTCCGTCCCTCTCCAGGCATGCCAGGGAGAAGCAGTCCCCTAGAAGCTTGTGAGGGTGTGTCCTTGACGGGGTCCCATAGTTCTGAGTCTGGCTTTATTAGTCAATCCTGACTGCCGATGTCCAAAGGCTCTGGACAGTCTTGTGAGCTCTTCTAACATGTATGCATTCCAGTCGTGGCCCTCTTCCCCGCTTCCCGAGCCCCACTTCTTATTGTGATTATTGCTCTGCCACCAGTCATGGGTTTGTGACTTCCTTTTCTGGGTTCTATATCTTCCTTAACTAGCATCCTGGTTGAATCCTGGGTGCCACCATGACCTCATGCTGACTGCACCCCTCATCCAGATGATGTGTCTGGTTTTGTGTTGTCCTGTCTCTTTTAATATTTAATAAAGGTCTTCCTTAAACATTTGGGGTTGGGGTGTCTTTTGTACTGGAAGACACTGCCCACAGCGGTAGTCAATTTGATTCCTGTGCACGTCATCGGTAGAAGTCCATGAGTACAGTTGCCGTTGTGTGGTTGAAAGATGGTGTTTGTGATAAACTCATTGGCCTGGCAAAATCTAAAATGTGACCTCCAGATTTCTTTCCACCACCAAGACCACATTTTCCAACTGTTCTTCCTTCCTCTTTGTTTCCAACTTCTAATTGCCAATAATCATCAATGCCTCTTGACGAGTACATGTTTGGTCGACTTCAGACTGGAGAAGTTGGTAGAATTCTTCAGTGTCTTCACCAGTGGTAGCAGTTTTCGTGAATGGTGAGTCAATTTGAATCATCATTGTGTTGACAAGACTTCTGTGTACTCTCATACATTTTATCCTGTCTCAGAGAGCATTGCAGTTCAGGAGAGATCTTAAATTTCCCTTTTTGATGAGGAGTGTGAAGTCATTCCGTTTGAGTTTGTCATCCTCTGCATGGTAAGCCATATAATGGTCTGATTCAAGGTCAGACCATCCAGGTCTTTAAGGTGTTAGGCTTTATTTGACATTTCTGTAAGCACCCATCGCGGTGTGATCCTAAGGGACAAGCCATCTAGTCATATAGGATTGGAGATGTGATCCATAAAAACAACAACAGAACACACCCAAACTCACCGCTGTCAAGTCCACGCCAACCTTTCACAACCCCGGCAGTGAATTTTATCTCAGGAGAGGGCTATGCAAGCGATTAGGGAATTTGATAAATAACTTACATTGCCAAGAAAGAAATTGATGATCTGATCTAGGTAAACCCTAACCCAATTTACAATTAAAAAAATGTTTCACCAATGAATAAAAACACGAGTTATTTCTATGATCTGTGATTTGACCCAAACTGTCATAAATTTGCAGAATAAGTGAGAGCCCCTGTCTCCATGCCCCCACGAAAAGAGATGACAGCAAAGCAGAGGCAGTGTAAGGCCACCTGGACAGAACGTGGTCACTTGACAGGGACAGCCACTTTGAGAGGATTTCACTCAATTGTGATGATTCCAATAGTCTCTATAAACAATCCGCACTGTACTAAATGGAGAAGAACTTGGGCAGGAGAATGGGTTAGGCCACAAGGTTAGCAGCTCTAACTTGCCAGCCACGCCCAGGGTAAAGTTAAGGCCCTTTATTCTGCTCAAGATTTCAAAATCTCAGACACCCACCTGGGCAGGTCTACTCTGAGCTGTTGGGTCACTAAGAGTCAGAAGCAAGTCAATGACTAGGGACTTGTGAGCTTCACGGATAAAATCCCCAAAGGTACAACCACCTAAAAGCAGCTCGGGAGTTGGAAGGTATTCTCCTGGTGGGTATGGTTTGCCCCGTTATAAATGGACTCTCTCTGCAAGTCCAGTAGTTTGTGTTTTTACCAGGTCAGGGGCCTCCCCAGGCCTGCGGATCTGCGGACTTGAGACAGCACCCTGCCATCTTTTCTTTTTAGTTAGCTTGGATGTATCAAGTCTGCCATCAGACCTGCTTATCTTGGATTCGTCAGTCAATGGACCAACTGTGTCCAAAGAAGATCCAGATTGAAATCTGAGTCTTGCCAGCCTTGATTACTGAGCTGAGAAGGTGAGTGGGGTGAACAGAAAACTCACTAAAAGGTTCTAATGAACAAAGGGGAGAGATCCCCAGAGTTTGGATGGGTGGTGTCACCAGTTTGACTATCCCTGAGATCTGAGCAGACTCAACTTCACGTCCACAGGTCAGGATTCCCTTTGGATCAGATTTCTCAGCATGAGCAGCAGGAACCCGCCCACCCTCTGTGAGCTTGCCATCCAGAGTATGTTGCAGGATGAGGCCACAACCATTGCTTGTCTTGACTGGCTGCCCACAGCACTCTTCCCACCCCTGTTCAAGGCAGCTGTTGCCGGGGGACACAGTGGCATAGTGAAAGCCATGGTGGCGTCCTGGCCCTTCATCCGTCTCCCCCTGGGTGCTCTTATGAAGCCTGGGAGTTCTCACCAGTCCACCTTAAAGGCTGCATTGGATGGTCTGGATAACCTGCTTTCCCAGAAGGTTCAACCCAGGAGATGCAAACTGATGGCGCTGGATTTGCGCCTGGACACTGTCACCAACTTCTGGAATGTGTTTGGAACCCAGTCCAGTACTTCCGAGCCCTCATTACAGACGCCCACGACCCCTCAGTCATGGTCTAAGGCTCAAGAAGGGGACCATTCAGGATCAGTGGAGAAGCATCAGTCCTTGGGCCGCTTGGAGGTGCTCACAGACTTGTGCTTTCAGGAGGCCTTTCCAGATAAACTCCTCACCTTCCTGATTGAAAGGGTCATGGAGAGAAAGGGCCTGCCACACCTGCGCTGTAGGAAGCTGCAATTTATAGGAACCACATCACTACTTCCTGTTTTTGGGGACATCCTGAACATGGTTCAACTGGACGCTGTCCAGGAGGTGGAAATGCATTGCTCATGGGACCTGCACAGCCTCAACTTGTTTGCTCCTCACCTGGCCCAGATGGTTCACCTGAACACACTCCATCTCTCTGGAATCTTCCTGAATTGTGCAATGTTTTGTCAAGAGAACGAGGTGGCAAACCTACTTGCCCAATTCACCTCTCCGTTCCTCGGTCTGCATCATCTCCAGCACCTCATCCTGGACTCTGTCTTCCTCAAAAATTGCCTCCACAAACTGCTCGGGTGCCTGCAGACCCCGTTGGAGACTCTCCGCATAAGTCACTGCAGCCTCGTGGCCTCTGACTCGACATGCCTGTCCTTGTGTGCTTGCACCAGTCAACTGCGGTCTCTGGGTTTGAGTGATGTATTCAGGGGTGGTGTGAGTCATGCATTCCTCCCAGGTCTGCTGCGGAGGGTCTCAGCCACCCTGACGCACCTTCACTTAGCTGCTTGTGGGATCACCGACTCGGAGCTCCGTGCCTTGCAGCCTGCTCTGGGCCTCTGCTCCCAGCTCAGCACGCTGGTGTTGTGTGGAAACTCAGTCTCCATGGCTGCCCTGCAGGCCCTGCTGCAACACACCATCCCCTTGTGCAAGTTCACCCTCCTGGAGCTCCCTGTCCCTCTGCATTGCTACGTTGGCTCCCAGAGCTCTCTACTCTGGGGTTCTCTTGTGTATGTGATAGAGGACCTGAAGCTGACCTTACAGCCCCTCAGGCCCTGTTCAGTCATCTTTTCTCCCAAGCATGACAGCAGCTCGTGGGACACGATCATCATCCATCTGTACAGCTGATGGCATTCATGATCTTTACCAGGGCTTCTCAGTGCTGACCTGTGCGTCTGGTTTTCTAACCCATTTATCAAATGTTAATGCTTCATATGCTTGTGGGATTGTTTTAGCTTTAGTTCCAGAAGATCAGATTACATTTGCTAGGATAAAGAGGCAATGGAATGGGGAAGATCCCAGGATGCATCTGAGTGCGTCAGCCTCCTCCCCAAGTCCACCCCTGCTTGCTTCCATCTCTCTTCTAGGAGACATCAAAGGAGAGCGAAGCCAGCAGGCAGAGGGGATGCTGACTCCCATCAGGAAACAAGGAACCCCAATTCACTGCCATTGCTCTTAGCAGCCCCCTGCCCCCCGTGGGTTTCTGAGACTGTGTAAGGGAGTAGAAAGCCCAGTCTTTCTCCTGTGGAGCTGCTGGTGGTTTCGAACTGCCCACCAGGCTCCTAGGAGACCATCATTTCCTTTGAAGCCAAGATTCCTGCCCTGGAAACATTCTTGACTCCGTAAAACATGGATGCCCAGAGGAAGGCAAGCACCTCAGATGTTGAAAAGAGACCAGTACTTCCTACAGCCAACCAGTTGAGAACCTTTTTTTTAAAAAACAGACGTGTCTACATTTCTATTTCCTCTACCTCACGGTAGACAGAATAAAGTTCTCTTTGTAAAGCCACCCACCTGTGATCTTTCTTTCCCAGGTTGCCAGCCAGTAACATTTAAACATGTTTTCTTTTGCTTGGGGTCAGTACATTCTTGTGTCAATTCATAGTGTGGGAAATGGTTGCTCTTTTTAGTAGAAATGGGTGTCCAGAGTGGGGGTATACTAATTAGCCTCTACCCGACCTCACCACCTTTGAAGCTAAGATTTGCACATCTTCTCTACTGCAAAGTGCTTCTAGTGGTTGGGCAGTTTGATCATGATATCGTCTGCGGAGCCCTAGTGGGGTAGTAAATTCACTCAAGTGGTGCTGTGAAGGAAGTGCTGGAAAGCCAAGCTCAAAGTCTGTGGGCCTCTCCCACTGGGTGCTCCACGGGAGAAAGACCAGTCTCTCTGCGTCAGTAGAGAGTGACAGCCTCAGAAACCATAGATCAGGCTGCTATCTAAGATGCTGAACCACTCCCACAGTAATGGGCTGGGTGGTGTGTTGCCCTGAACTTGTCCTGAGGACAAGTCTTTCTGTCCTCCCCTCCTCCCACGCCCCATTTTTACTGGCACCTAATTGACATATCAGACAATTGAGTAGTTCAATCATACCAGGGGAACTGTACAATCTATCTTAGGCCTTACCCCTCAATGATTAAATTGCCTTCAATATGAGGTGCTCCCTCCCCTCTCATCTACTCAAATTCCCTTCCCCTCCTTATCACCCACCCTCCACCCCTGCATTCCCTATCACACCTCTATCAGTTGATATACATCCACGCCCGTGCCTCACTGCTGGGAAACTCAATAGAAAACAAGGAAAAACAAATCGCACTAAGGTCGCACCGAGGTGGTAAAAATAAGATCATATTCATATAAAGACAGAAACAGAAACAATTCGTGAGAGGGAGATGAACCCCAACAACATTCAAAAGGCCAAGGAAGTACTTTTTGTCATGGAACAATGAAGAGATACTCGCACCCAGAACAATTTTAGATTGTGTCTTTAGTGAGGTTCACTGGTCAAGTGCCATGTTCGATCAAGCACCATCAAAATCAGTGGTCTCGTCTTACACCGTCCAACATCCCCCTTCACCCACTTCTCTGCTGTCTGTCCCCCCGGGAGGAGGTTATATATAGATCCTTGCAATCTGTTCCCCCTTTCTCCCTCACCTTCCCTCCACCCTCTGGTATGAGTGGAAAAAATGAGGAGCGAATACCTGGTGCTCAAGTAGAGAGCAACTGTTTTGAGAATGATGAAGGAAACAACTGTACAAAAGTGCTTGACACAATAGATGTATGTGTGGGTTGTGATAAGAGTTGTATAAGCCCCCAATAAAATGATTTAATAAAAGAAAAGTCAGTGGTCTCTGTCTGAGAGTAAGGCCGTTCAGGATTCTTGGCTAGAAGGGATCTGCCAGTGGCTCAGTCTGACTCGATCCTCTGCAGATGAATTTTGGGCTCCCACTGTCCTCCATAGCCTTCTCCAAATTGGGTGTTTATAAGGCTAGCCCTGCTACTTTTCTCTTCACCATATTTGAATTCTGTCATTGTCATCTTTGGATCAGACAAGCTGGTGTGATTCTTCTGTGTGGATTTAGTTGACTCCAGTCTTTCTGTTTTGGGTCTGCTAAATGCCGTCCACGGTGCATTCCGCAGAGTTCATTTGGTGACAGCATAAGCAGGCTATGAAGAGTTGGGGGCTGGTCACCCTCAATGTCTTCCTGCCCTAACTGCCTTTGCAGCTTCTGGCATGCCTTCTCTGGAGAGTATCTTATCTTCCCGTGGCGCGCCATTTTCTCTGTCAGCGCGATTGTGCCACGTTCCTCAGCATTTTGGCAGTGATGTAACGATATTGAGTTTGAAGCACTAATGATCTGGTCCATATGCATTGGGCAGTTACCTAGCAGGCTGGTGGAGCAAACCCACCATTCTCTCCACCAGAGAAAGATGAGAGTGTCTACTCTTAAGACAGAGTGTTGGAAGTCCCAGAGAGCATGTAGTGTCTGTCCTACGAGCTTGATGTTAGTGAAAATAGAATATAGTAAAAGGTTTGTGTGTCTTATCTTTTAATGATGCAATTCGGCATTTGTGTAATGACCAAACGTTGGTTATCCTATGTGCTAAACCAAACCATTCGTTCACCATGGGGACTTTATTGATGTAAAGGGAATTTCCCTGGGGGTGGCTACAGAAACTTTGATCTCACAAGGGGTAACAGGAGACATAGCCCAGCTCTGATTGTGTGGTGACTTCTGGGTTGTGCTGTTACCTAGAAGCTTGGTGGTTCAAACCACCATTTTCTCTACCAGCGAATGATGGGAGTGTCTACTTTCTGTCTGTCTGTCTACTTTCATGAAGATTCAGAGACTTGGATGCCCGAGGGAGCAGGTCTTAGCTGTCCTACATGGTTGACGTGCATGGAGATAGAATACATGCAGAGTTTTTTCTCTCTTACTTTTGAGGAGTATAATTTGGCATTTGTGTCATGACCCTACATTGGTTGATAAAACAAACCATTGTCACAGAATTCAGGACAGGATACCAAACCCTTGTGGCAACATTGCTCTCAGAGGGAAACCAGCAGAGAGAAGCCAGCAGACAGAAGAGGGAATCAAGAAAGAAGATTGGGTCAACCCTGCTTCATTGTCTTGCCTGCAGCTGTTAAAAGGAGACGCGGACTGTCTCCAGACCCAACAGATGGAGTTGGCCTTCTTGTCGAGCGGGTGTCCTGAATTTGGACTTCTAGCCTCCTAAGCTTTCAGAAAATTAAACTTCCTAGGAAAACAGTGAGGGTTAGACACAAGGCAAACATTTTGATAATGCTCATTCAGTAAGGCAAAACTTTGCTGGCAGAACTAAGATATGTCACAAAATGGAAGGAAAATAGCAAATCCTTATGGTCTTCATTGGCCAATGATTGGGCGACCTTGGAAGCAAGGGAAACTAAGACCAATGATTCCTAAGATCATGGTCTTGGAGTTACAGCCATGTGCTTCTTTTCACCCTAGGGTGCTTCCAGATCAGGTCCAAGGGAGTATTTCTTCTTTCATCTGTGAAAGGTTTGTTTAAGGTAAAGTCTGGTTCGCTTAGCGGGATTTCATCTTTGTCTGGTAGAGAGATTTGTGGGTCTGTACCACAAAGTTTCCAGGACACTGCCCAACACATCAGCCTCCACACCAGGGTTCCACAATTTACATCATAACACGAATGCCAATCTACTGGGAATCATGACCCCAGCAAGTTGCCAGAGAGTGATCCACCACAGGCAGAGAAGACATGGCCGAGAGCAGCTGCATAGGCAGTGAGGGCAGAGTGCTATAGAGAGGGTGACCAGCACCACACATGTTTACACCTCATTGGTGATGAGTAGATCAATCAAATGAACACTGATGGGGTGCATTTGTCTATCAGAGAATATAAAGACTTGTCTCCAAGCCCTGAACTTCTGGTTCATAGCCCAATGTATCACCAATGACCCCCTACCACTCAGTCTCTGTCATGGAGCTCACTTAGGATCATACATAACTACTGCATAGCTACATATCTATGGCTCCTGAGGAGGTAAGATAGACTTGTTCTTCTGTGGAGTAACTAGGGGGAATGCTCCACAGATCTTGTGCTTAGCTCTATCCCTTCCTTAGCAGCACTGCCAGGGTCAACTCATTTCACCACCAGGGCTTCAACGATGACATCAGGACGTAATCGGACAAGCACCGAGAAGCACTGTCTAGCCAAGTTTACACCCTATCACATATCGAGAAGAAGTCCAAAGAATTCACCACCACCTCTTGGAGATAGACTAGCTGCAGCGTTTTCAGGATCTCAACATGGACAGTCAAGGTATAACACCAATAAATTCTAACTTCCTACAACCCAGATATGGGACGCCTTTCCTCAGCTTGGCCCTCTCAAGGAGGATGGTGATTAACTCATGTCTGAAAGCTTCCTGTGAGCCTCTCCCCGGGGACCAAGAGCCGATGCTTCTCCTGTGACCTGGAATCACGTCTTTTCCGAGTCTCACTCCCAATCTGGGTGGCCTCTGGTTCCTCTGAGGAGGATACGAAGGCCCTCGACTGGTTTTCTCTCTACATGATCCAGAAGTTGCCAGTGTTCACCCACAAATCCAGGAGTCCCCTTTTCCATC